GCTTTACACAATTGATGTGTGTATGGATTGGGATAACAGTTGTATGAGCCCCTAATAAAATGTTAAAAAAAAATAAAAAAATAAAAAAAGAAGCGTGAACGACCACTTTGTCCACAGTGTGAAGGAGCATGCAGAGTTACCAAGTCAAGGAAAGTACAGTGATACGTCGGTTGTTGTTGAATGGCTCCAAGCTAGAACTTTCCACTATTCCAACAGCAAAGTCAAACCAATAATCCAACTTGAAAAAAAACACAAAGTGTTGTGTTTCAGGCTTCAATCTAAGCGCCACTCTCACTGAGACAACATATAGCGCTGGTGTTAGTGCAGAAAAGCATTCATATTATTGTACACTTAGTATAATATATTTGGTCAGTTGACCTCTCTGTTGACCCAATCTGCATATGCTCTATGCTCAAATATTTCTCAAGTGTTCCAAGAATGAAATTTCTTCTTTGGCTTTTTAAAATACTGTTGGTGGTTTTTCATTCTTGCTTTTTATTTTATCTTTGCGTTATTATTTTCTTCTCTCTGATTTGATTGTGATATTTATTGTTTCTATTAGGTTCTCAGTTTATGAAGCCCAGAATGAGAGGAGGCAGGGACACTATGGCTGATGCAGCGGTTTATCAGGGAGGGGACAGGAAAGGGGAATTGGGGAGCGATCAGTGGATGCTGGAGCGGGGAGGCATTAGAGCTGATTGTGATGATGAGTAGACAACTCTATTTAGAAGCAGTTTAATGACAGAAGTGTATAAATGTGAATATTATATCAAGAAAACTACTAAAAAAAAAAAAAGAAGCCAAACTTGACCAAGTTACCATGGGTGAAGAAGGAGGAATATCTTCGCTTAGAGGACATTGAGTTCATTTTAATGGTGGTGGAACCATTTGGAGAAGGTTAACGATAATGACTGTACAACACCGAGAGTATGATCAGTGGCACCGAATGATTCACGTAGAAATGGTTGAATTGGTGAATGCTTTGTTGTGTATACTTTTGCCAAAATTGAAAAAAAAAGATACATGAATAACAATGAGTACAGGGAAAAAGAAAATGTTCCAATTGATTGTGGTAAAGATTGTACAACTCTTCTTGATATGATATGTGGATGAAGGGCCAATGAAACTGTTTTTTAAAAAGCATTCGGCACTGTGCTTGTTATGGGTATTTGCAGCAAATATCATAGCCATGGCTCTAAAGCAAGCGAGAGACGCCAGCAGTAGAGCTGAGAGGGAAACTGTGGGGACCACGACAGAGTTAAAGAAAGAAATCACTGGGAAATTTGAACCAGGTTTCCACCGGTCTCATTGGCCAAGTAAACATTCTCAACACTTTTGGGGGGGAAATATGATTAAAGCAGTTAGTTCAGTGAGAAGTGTGAAATCACTTACCACAAACCAAAAACCCAGACCATCAACGAGATTGCAAAGTACTGTCACTTTGGACAAAAAAAACAACTCCAATATGACAGTATACCTGAGATGTGAGAGGGCTGAGAGCCTCCAGACTGATTTAATGAAAGATGTTGCGGGAGTGAGCGCGGAGTAGCCAGAAGAGTTTAAAGTCAGTCCTGGCCGGTTTGCAAAATCCAGAAAAAGAACAGGCACACACAGTGCAGTGGGGCGCGGGGAAGAGACTAGTGCACATAAAGACGAAGCTGACAAACTTGTGACTAAATTTGCTGAATGTGTGCAGGCTGCGTGTTTTGTTCCCCAACAGGTGTTCAGCTGCAATGAAACCAGAGGGGTTTTTAAAATTTTTTTTTAATGTTTTGGAAAAACGCCCAATAGGACCTTCATTACTAGAGGGGGAAAGGCGTTGCCAGGCCACAAGCCTATGAAAGACAGCTTCACTTGGTTGTTTTGTGGGAATGCTAGTGGGCATTTTCAAATGAAGCCCATGTTAGTTTTTTTTTAAATCATTTTATTGGGGGCTCACACAATTCCTATCACAATCCACACATATATGCATTGTGTGAAACACACATGTACACCCGTTGCCATCCTTCTCAAAACATTTGCCTTCTACCCGAGCCCTTACTATCGGCTGCTCATTTTCCCCCCTCCCTCCCACCCACGTTAGTTTTTAAACAACAAAACATAATGAAACGTGTTACTTTTATTTACTGTATTGTGTCTTGATATTTCATATACTGTAATGATTGCATTTAGATGTTTGGGGGGTATATTTCCACAATTGAGAGCTGGTAACTTTGTGTTGAAATCCTGCAAAACCATGAATTCATCAGTGTAATTTGGGGGCCTCGGAACCAATTAGTTGGTTTTCCATGATTTCTTCTGGAAAAAATAGGTTCCGTTCTCGAACTTTTCAGGGAACGAGTTGGACCAGCGAGTTATCACTGTAGTAAGAAGCATGCCTCCCAGGAAGGGAGGCAGACAGTGTCAGTGAGCGCAGGCAGGGGGCTGTGATCCCAGGAGCAGAGGTGGGAACAGAGAAGATCGAGTAATCAGTCGTAGAAACTAAACACCTTAGGAACAGATTACAATGCAAGGAGACATTTAAGCAATCACAGGGGCATTTTGCGTTCTGTTCTCCTGGGTTAGAAGGTTTTCCTACGAATGTCCCCGGCGTGTCACAGCTTGTGCTACCCACATGCTCCAAAGCCTCAGGAGTCATGGAAGGTTTAAAGACATCTAAATTATAAAAAAGATGAACTTGGCTGCTCCTGTAAAGATTTACAGTCTCGGAAACCCTCAGAATCAATGCCAGGCAAGGCGTTTGGACTTCTGGTATACCGTGAAGTACATTTGATACTATTCTTACTAAAATAGGAATTTGTGGCTGCCCAATCTCAACTAACCAGAATTTTTCCTGACTCAGTGCAGGCGTCCTCAAACTACAGCCCGGGGGCCACATGCGGCCCCCCTGAGGACATTTTTTGGGCCTGTCAGGTGTTTTTGCCCCGTTTGTTTTTTTTACTTAAAAATAAGATATGTGCAGTGTGCATAGGAATTTGTTCATAGTTGTGTTTTTTTTAAACTATAGTCCGGCCCTCCGACAGGTCTGAGGGACAGTGAACTGGCGCCCTGTTTAAGAGTTTGAGGGCCCCTGCAGTAGACCCTCTCCTCCAAACATTTTGAATACATGAAAATTGCCAAACGCTGTCTGCGTAGAAATACCCTTAACGTTGTCGAAGGCCTTTATTTGGTCAGAGCATGGGGCAGTACCACATAGCAGGATGGAGCTAAAAGTACTTGCCCCACCATCATCCCACAAGATAATCTGAAGGATAAAAATGTATGTGAACGCTGGGTAAGCCTTTCAGCACTCAGGAAGCCATAGAACGGCAGAGACCGGTAGGCCCAGAGTGGAGCTCTGAAGCTTCTGCTACCCCCGGGTGAGCTATTTACTTCATGCTGCTGCCTTATATCTTCATCGATAAAACAGGCAGTTTATACGTTACAGGACTGATGCAAGGAGTAAACCTGAAAGATACCCATCGCTACTGAATAAATGATGACTCAGAGCGAACCGATGGGTAAATCAAACACAATGACTATTGGAGGGCATATAATAAGGTGACCAGATTTAAAGCGGGACGCCATTGACTGGGGGTGGTGTTGTTTCTTGATTAAAAATTTGGTCTATATGGGCCAAATAGACCGTTCCCTAGCTTGTCGTGCATTCTTTCCAAAAATCGGGACTTTTTTAAAATGCCAAAAAGCGGGACGTCTGGTCACCTTAAATTCCAAACTAGCTGCCATACGGTCAATGCTGACTCACAGTGAACCCTTCCCCCTCCCCTCCCCTGGATTTCTGAGACTGTAGCTCTTTGCAAGAGTAGAAAGCCCAGCCAGTCTCCCTTGGAGCTGCTGCTGGCTTCCAACTGGCAATCACACGGATCTCAGCCCAATGGATACCCACTGCATCCTCAGGGCTCTGCAGTAAGTACAAGGCGGTTCTATTTTTCCTCTTCAATCTCATGTGAAATATTTCAAAGAGGGATCACTAAAAATTGACAATATTAGAAGCAGACCAAAACTTTACATAATTTAAGATATCTCTCTCTCTCTCTCTCTGTATGTCCAGAACAAGAAGAGCACCGACTACCACATTTATTCTAAGGAAACCCACACTTATTAATGTCACAGAGAAGTTAACTCGGAAAAAAGTCTAATGTTGGTATTTCTGATTCTAAAGTAGAGATGGTCATAAAGTTGTAAAATGCAAATAACAAGGGGAAAAAAGGGAGGGAGGAAGAGTCCTTAATATCAAGCTTTTTGCACCTACCATGTTAAAGGATAAAGTGCTAGGGTCTGTGTCCTCCACAGGCTCCTTTGGCACATGATCTGTAAGAAAAGAAACGGCAAGGAGTTACTTTCACCGAAAGCGCCAGTAGCCCTGACCTATGGCTTCACGGGGACGGGGACGCAGGCCCCCTGCATCAGCCTGCGTGAGGCTTACCCGTAGTCATCATTGGTAACCAAGTAAGAGGAACAGGTGCAGGTTGCATCAAGAAAGAGATGAAGGGAACATGTTTATTAATCAAAACGTATTTGGAGTAGATTACTTATAAATATCTACAGATGCTCAGCATTACATTTAACTAAAAATTATGCCGATATGTTACGAATGACGCTTTGTCTACTCGTGTGGTTCTTGTGAACTGTCAAAGAAATAAGAACCCTTACACGTTCATCAAGCCAAATGTTGACTTCTTACATTTTACCATTTTGTGGTATTTAAGATACTTTATGTGGAGATATATA